GTTGCTAAGGTTGGAGAACTCTGGACTAAAGAATTTAGGCACGGGGTGGAGGCGTGTGGGCGTACTTACAGGGCGCGGTACTATTATTATGGGTTAATTGGGTTAATTGCATTAATTGAGGGGAGGGAATAAAGTCAGCATTGAGGGGCGGTTTCTCTCAACACTGACTTTTAACAGATCATTGATCATTGTTACTGTTACTACTGGAGACTGGAGATCCTACATTAAAACATTGTGTGTCACTACGTGTGAGTAACATAGTTCATAGACAAAAGATCTGAAAAGTCCCAGGCTGTTATTCCCCTATTAGCTTGTTATCCATCCTGTAATGTTCCAAGAAATACATTTGATGGAATCTGTATTACCTTTTCTTTTAACTTAATGTAGGATAGCTGCAACATCTGCTATCTTGTTGATCACCAGAGTTCATTCAGCTCATCTGGTTGTCTAAGATGGTGACCTGATTTCTCTCATCATGCGAATCCTTCCCAAAGTTATGCAGTCAGTGAAAGATTGACAGCCCAGGCATAATGATTAAAAGGAGTTACTTTGGCTTTGTTTCTTATCCCTCACACCAAAAAGTGAAAGGAATTATTCATTTATTTTTAGCTTAAATTTCTGATTGGGCTGCTGCTTACTATAATGCTGAACATATTTGGGGAAATGTTTATGGCTAGCAGAACACAAACTAATTTAAAGTGCTAATAGAACAGCAAAACTAATTCCTTTATCCATTGGTATACAGCCTTTTTTACACAAGCCTTAGCAAATTAATAGTTATCTTTATGTCCATTATGAACTAATGATTCTATTAATGCTGTATTCTTCTGAAATTCAACATAGACCTTTTTTTGAGGAAAAAATGGATTACTTAAATGCTTATTAAACATTTTAGGAAAAGAATGCCAGCAATGACTCAGTATTGTTCCAGAAGATTGATTATAAACAAATAGCTGAAACTAATTAGGGAAAGGCGCTATCTAGCCAGGTTAGTCAGGTTAGAATGAATATATATATTCATTCATTGTTTGACAGAGTGCCTTTCTATTTGACTTGTAGCAGAATGTGGCAGTTAGGTTAGAAAGTTGAATAGCAGTATGTACACAAGTAGACTTCAGCTGCAGAGAATAGACTGAGGTGGTACAAAAAAGTATTGTGGAATATCCCAAGAGTATTTAACAGGACAAGTTTATTGTTCTAAGTAAAAGCTAAAATACAAGAATCAACATTGCCAAGTTTTCTTCTAATCACAGCACAAATTTTTGAAACTATTTCTCATTAAATCCAATTATGTGTCCTGACTACATACCTGATTTTATTTCTGATTTGCAGAAATTACTATAATTACTTTTATAATTTCATATAAACAGTAAATCTTGCCGTTGAGAATATTGAAATATTTTTCCAGCCTGGTTTCAGGTTATTCTATCCATGCAAGACAAGAAAGGAAAAAAAACAAAGACTGAAAGATATAATCAACTAAGTAGCATGCTGTGATGGACTAGGAAATTTTGAGGAAGCATTTAGAAGGATTAGTTCTTTGTTAAAGTTGTCAGGGAAAAGAGGGAAAAGATGCTGTGAGGAGTCACTTTTCAGTTCATTCTGTGGCAGGCATAGCTGCAAATGAATGCTAGCTAGCTAGTTCACTCAGGAGGAGTCTTTGTTGTAATTTACCTTATAACCACAAGATCTGGAATTACCCTATACATAGCAGCTTGTGAGACAGAAATTTATTGATCATTTTACCCAAAACTGATAAGCTAAAAAATTGCAGTTGCAAGAAAAAAAAGCCTATAGGGATATGTGTGTGTCAGTTTAGCTATTTGGAAAATTACAGTATAAATAGAGTTGAGAAATTTGAGAATTCAATTTACATTTAGTGAGAAGTTTCATAAAATTTTCAAGAAAAAAATAGCACAATCTCCTCTAATGTGGGGTGTTAGAATAATTTACTGTTTTCTTAGTAAATGAAGCATTAAAAATTGGTACTGGAGAATCCTCATTTTTTCCTTCTGCTAATGAATATTTTTATATTAGTTCTTTTTAGAATACCATGTTTTAAAGCAGGAACTATTTATTTAAGTCATCTGACAATTGGATGAAAAATAGGAAACTCATTCTATAAATAAATACATGTTGGGGAGATTGTACAGTGTGAATATAGACAGGAGTTACCTTGGATTCAATTCAGTATCATTTAAGATAGTAAGTATATCATTAAAAAATCAGTTTTGAATTATACATCACTTCACCCCATTCCCAGGCAATTTTTGGAGGGGGACAACTCAACAGCAAGAAATCTATGAAAATCAATATCCTCTATTAGTTTCTGTTGCAATGAGAGCAACAGGGTCTACTGCTTGAGCAGGTGGTTGGAGTAGAAGATTTCCAAAATTTGTTCCAACACTGTTATTCTTTGGTGTTTTTTTTCCTCCATAGGACCTAACATAAAATAATGATAAAGGGGATATTTACAGTATGTCACATTATCTGTTTTGTGGCCCTAGGTTATGTTGTTATGTTTCCTCTCTGATACAACCAACAATAGGAATTATTTACCAAATTACCATAGAATAATTTCATAAACAACTACCAGTAAGCATTCACTGATCATATTCTTTTCAGAAAGTTAGTATATAATCTTTATTTGGAAAATAATATTGCTTTCTTTATTTTCTTTGGGAAGGTGTTCCCTTTCTATATTTAGAAATATTAATTTGCTTCAATCAGTTGCTATGCGGGCATGAATATATGCATGCGACATCATGTATTAATTGTTGTTTTTTCATCTGTGTAGTTATAAATATACCAATCTACCAATCCAATCTACCAACATCTGGAAAAAAACTTATTTTATCACTATGTGTATCAGCTTAACAGTATTTTTTCTTCAGTACAAATGTCTTTCTTTTTCACTTCTACTGTTGTTCATTTCATATTCGATAACACCATGTGAAGAGTAGTGTTCTATTTAGGCTACTATTTGGTTTTCATTATTTATGTTGTATTTCTTCTTTTGTTCCCTTCAAACTAGAGTTATAGTTATAAATATGTCACTTTTCTTTCTTCCGTTGAGTACAGCTTTATGTTAAACTATTTTGCAAATAATGAGTTTCTATTAATATTATCATGGCATTTTTGAGTTTTCCAGGACAATTGAATTATTGGAAAAAAGGAAGGAAATTATTTGTCAATTAAATTATTTTATACTGCTACATGTGAAGTCACATCTCAAAAGAGTTTGCAACAATAGTAAATTATTAACATGGAGCAATAAAATTAAATAGGTAAAAATGCAAGAATAAATATATTGAACAGAAAAAGGAAAACAAAACCATCCACCCATTACCACTCATCTAAGGAAAGCCTGGCTGTAGATATTTCAAACAGGCAAATACAAAGTGAAGCAATCTATCTTTCATACATTTTTGCTATTATCAATTGTTTACTTAATATTTTAAATTCTTACCTTTATAAATGTATAATGTTTTGATTTTAGCTGCTTGTAAATTCCATTACTGAGTTTTGGTGCTATACCAATTATATAATCAATTAAATATCAAGACATCATTCCAGACAGCAAGCACTTCCATGGAGGAGACTTACAAAAAGTGGTATTTGTGCCTTATGGTATAATAGTTAGAAAAATCTTTAAAGCTAGCAACATCACTCCACCTGGCAAAAAGTACCACACAATTCTCTGATTCCATGTGTCTGCTCACATTGGTTAAGTAAAATAAGTCAAGTTGGGCAAAGTTTGAAAAACCACCATCTATTCTCTTATCTCTTAGTTGTTGTTTTTTTCTTGCTTGATTTTCTGAATATTTTCTAAGCTTCTCATTCGTTGAGTGCAACACAGAAAACCTGGGTTTTAAAAATTCTACTGAGTTCTATCAAATTTTCCACATGCTATTTTAATACTCTGAGCATTTCAAAATGAACTAAACATTCAAGGACAAAGAAGGTAATAAAGCATTATATAAAGGAAGCAAGCATATTAATACAAATTTATATTAGCTGTACATAAACTTGATTTAAAAATACTCTGTTTATATTTATAAAAACCCAATTTCTATTGTATGATGTGCAAATAAATTGAAATAAATGAGAATGGCATGTATTTATTACTGTATTTCCCTGAAAATAAGACCTAGCTTGATTTTAAGTGCTTGCCTAATATAAGCCCTACTCCAAAAATAAACCTTAGTTAAGACAGCCCCCCCACTCTGTCCCACTGTCTCGTTGTACAATGTGGGGTGAGGCACATGTGTAAAATTCAAGCTGGGGGGAGGTGGTGGGTGGAGCTGCACCATGTACCCTGTACTCTCTTATATTAGGACCACCACAGTCAGGCTTCCCATTCCCCAACAGCTGTCATGCACTTTCTGACTTCTGTGGCTGCTTGGACACCATGTGATGCATTGTGCAGGTGCTGCTGTTTGTGGCAGGATGCTGTATGGCACATCATGCCAGTGCCACCATTTGCATGCTGAATGGCACAATGTGTCACATGGCCTCCTACCATGAGTGGTGGCACTGGTGTGATGAGCCATATGGAGTCCTGCAATGCACTACATAGCATCTGGCCTCAAATGGCCACAAGCAGCCACCAAAGAAGTCAAGCAATGGCACAACAGGTGTTGGGACATGGGAGGCCTGGCTGTAAGGTAAGACATCTCCCCAAAATAAGACCTGGTACTTATTTTGAGGCCCAAAAGAAAATAAACCAAGTCTTATTTTCTGGGAAACATGAAATGTACAGATCTCAGAAGTTAATGACTTCTGGAAGCTTATACAGCTAAAAACAAGAGATTAATCTTACAAAGATTAAAAGGTAGAATAAAAATTAAAACTAAAAGTAAAAATAAGTAAAAATAAAGATAGCATGTCTTATAATATCCAAATTAATCATTACAGTCATTAGATGGAAAATTCTGTAGCTACTTCCATATTTTCTAACAGGGCATGAGAGAATTTCTACATACTTTCTAATCACTCACAAGTAGTGTGAAGATGATCCATGGATGTTTTCATTTCTGCTGATATAAACTGCTGAGAACACGGAGTGAAAATTATTTCCTCACTGCAAGTGCCACAACTCTGGCAGCAATAAATCATTCACCCTCTTCTCTACCTGAAAAGGAAAGGTAAAAAAACAGAAAACCCAGTAACCCAAAACTCTACACCCAAGTTCAACAATTCTAAATAGTAAAAGAAAAACTAACTAACATTTTGACAAATTTGTCTTTCTTTTTTGGGGAGAGAGGATCTGGACCACAGAGTAGGAATTGCAAAGCCATTTTATTATTATTTTTTGATAACCCTAATTTATGATTGATGATTTGAATGGAATCATCTGTTCCACATATTTAATTAACACTGTGATTTTAAAAATTCACATTAACCATGATTTTATTGTAACACAAATATCTTTGTCACCCCAATTTCAGATCATGTGCTTCTAAATCCAAATATTCTATTTTTCAGCAACATCCACTCTTTCATTCAAGCCAAACACCAAGCTGCAAAATAATTTCAAATACAGGTAAATCCAATCCTCCTCTTTCTTTTGCATTTAGTAATATCTTATTTTGATCCAGTGGCTCCCCCACCCCACCCCACTCACACAAATCTACCGATAGCTATATACTTCTGGCAGTGTTTACATCATACAACAGTTGTCTAAACAGGCATTACCTGAAACAAAAATATTATTCTAGGCAACATACTAATTTGTATTACAAAAATATAGCTTGCAATACCAGTTGTATATTCTCTTTCTCTCTCTCAATTTAATTCTATGTCTTAACATAATCATTTTGAAATAGCATAGTTCATATTTATCATAGTGATACCCAGATATTTTAATCTTCTTTTTAATCTTAAAACCCATTTTAGTTACAATTTAAATTCTCATTGAACTTTTATTTAAATATTTTGTTAGCATCTTTGTCTTCTGTTTATTGTTAATTACTACTAGTTCTCTTTTTTTTAATTTTCCCATTAATATTTTAGTTCCTTTTGAAGAATCTTCCAGAACCAACACCAAGACATCTGAGAAATCCCTTTACTTAAAAAAATATCTGTTTAAATCTTTATTCCCATGATTCTTTGATCTTGTCTTATATCTCTAGTCAGTATTTCCAGAATCAAAATAAACAAGAGAGGAGACAGTAACATTGGTGTCTTGATCCTTTTTGTATCTCATAGGGTTTTCTGTGAAGTGTAAATCGATCTTATCAATTTTATAAAGTTCTCTCCAAAATTCATATCTTCTAAAACCTTGAACAAGGAAGCTTGGTAAATTTTGTTTCTTTATATATTCATATATTTTTTCTAGTGATGTGTCACTTTTTAATACAAATTGGAATAATATTGATGTATTACCTTTTCTATGGCTGCATTGTCCACCAATACTGTATCCCTGTCTAGTAATACCTATATAATTCTCTTTTCTTTTCTTTTTTTGTAATTTATATATAGGTCATTTTGCTGGTTTATTTGCAAGGGTTTTTGTTTTTGCTTTACAAACTAATTTATTTCCATTTTTCTTTTTGTTAATACAGATACTTTTTAATTTATTGACACTTACCTTGTCTGGAAATTTCTTTAATTCTTCTTTTCTCTTTATTTTAAAACAGATGGTTTTTTCTCTTGACTTCTTTTTAAATTCACTGTTTTTTCACTATGTTCTTTAAAATAAAATCTCATAAAAGTTTTAATTTTATTGCATTTCAAATCAAAATTGGTGCTTTTATTTAACCTATTTTTTTAAAAAAATTCTTTTTGCAACCATCTGCATTTTTTTCCTGTAGCAACATTTTGTTCAGCCTCTATTTAAAAGAATTAGGTATTATTTTGCAAATTAAACTCACAAGATTATCATCCAAAAAGTGTTTGGCAAATCTTAGTTAAATTCTTTGAATATAAAACTCGATCCCTTATCATCATCCTGACAATGTGCAGATTAAAACTTCCCATGCAGCATTTCTTATTCTCACAAATCTTATATTTATTATATATAGCCTCTACAATCTTCTCATTCAAATCTACAAAAATTGTTTAATAACATTTTTATCTAATATTTTCACAAGACTTCTCTGAGATTGACCTATATCTCAAGCAAAAATTCTTCTCTCTCAATTCCAAGACAGACAGATTATCTGGGTTTCTTTCCAACATTTGGTCTGTAATTTCTGACTTATTCTCCACAATTTCTGTTTTGTCATTTTACATCCCAGACATAGTCTTTCAGATCTTTCCACCTTCTTAACTTCTTTTATTTCATCTTTAGGAGTCTTCTATCCATTCTTTTTTTCAAAACCTGTTAATTAGTATAAAGTGATTCAGTCACCTTACTGTCAATCACTCAAACATTTTTTGAAGTAAATCTGGTATAATTATTTTCACTGCAGGATGCTCTAATAATATAGTCATTTTTGCTACTTTTTGGGTGGTTAGTCTAATCTAAAAGTAAAAGAGTCTCAACCAAGGAGACTCTTGTACTATTTTGTCTTCTTTGACCTTAATACTTTCATGTCAAATTACTTCCATACAGTTACAGTCAGAATCACAGTCTTTATATTTATTACATTTATATTTTGCATTATAAACTCCATCAATTGTCTGCACTCTTTAATAGTAATCAACAACAACAAAATCCCCTTGGAGTGGGAGTGGTTCGTATGTTTAATTCAATTCTAATTTATTCAAAAGCATATTCACTAAAAAAAAATTCTTTTGCCAAAAGTTTTTAAGTCTTTAAAACCTTTTTTCCTTTATCCCTTTAGAATACAGGGGCAAAAAAATAATAACTCATGAGTGGTTTCTTATCCTGCCTCTCAGAAAATCTCTGAAAGAGGTTAAGAAATTAGCATTGTACAAATACCGTGCAAACAAATGCAGTCTTATGGTTATGGGCTTGATTAAAATCCCTTATTTCTCAGCACCTCAGATCATGAGTTGATCACAAAAACCTCAGAATTCTACTCATGAGGAGGAGCAATCTGGAGTGTAAGTGGATGATTTCACAATTACTTCTTTTTCTGGTGAAACATCAACAGTCTGAATTCACTGTCTGGTTACCAATTTCTGCTCCAATCCTTTTTTTAAATAACATTTAAATAATCATGTTTAAAAATATGAAAGAAAAAACTAGGAAGAAAAAAGAAAAGCAAAAAAGTACAAAGTAAGCTATGTGGAGATGAAAGGAGGAAGAAATATGTAAAAGAAAAAATACATAAATTATTTTTCCCTTCACCAAGACAAGCACAAACAATTTCAGTAACTTATATTGTCTAAATTTTTAACTAAAATATCTTCAGCATATAGATCATGTTTTACATATTAGCAAATAATAAAGCATCATCATTAATTATCAGACTTCATTAAGTGCTATCAGAGACAACAATGTAAATATAGTTTCTGACTTACAACCACAATTGGACCAGAAGTTCCAAAGGTGCTTTTTCAAGAGGCAACTGGATTTTTTATTTATTTTTTTTTTTTTGAAGATGTTTCACTTTTTATCCATGAAGCTAAAGAAGCTTCTTGGATGAGAAGCAAAATATCTTCAAAGAAAAAAGAGAAAGTCCAGTTGCCTCTTGAAAAAGCCCCTTTGGACAACCATGACCTGGTGACTGCAAATCTCCATAGACAATTGAACCAGAATTTCCATTGTGAAGAAAGTCAAGCCAGATTTTATGATCTCTTTTGCCATGGTGGTTAAGTGAATCTCATGGTCTTTATGCAAATATAGCTTCATCCATTGACTTTACTTTTCAGAAAGATCACAAATGATGATCAAACAATCATTGTAACCTTTGCCAAGTGTCCAATTTTTAATCTTATGATTAATGTTTTTAAGTGTGAATAAAGATTGTAAGTCACTTTCTTCAATGCCCATGTAATTTTAATTGGTCACTAAATGAATGACTGCAAGTCAAGGATATACCTGTATACCTGTATATATTTTAACATTATACTGGTGTGTGTGTGTGTGTGTGTGTGTGTGTGTGTGTATACATATATATACATATATATACATACATATATATATATATATATATATATATATATATATATATATATATATATATACACACATACATATATATACATATATATACATATATACATAATGTCAGACTGTGCTCCTTCTAAATCCCAAGAAAGAAATACTCAGACTCCATGATGTAGAGCAGAATTTATCTTTTACTGGGAAATGAATGGTAGCAAACAGAATCAATTCCGAAACTAAATTATTGGCGGGTAAAATGCATATACAAAGGGATAGAATTGCTCCCCCCCTCCAGAGACCAAATGATTCTTCCAATTAAAACTTCTGAATAGGATCATGTGGTCATCTCTAGGTGATGATGAGGCTACTGTCAGTGACCTTGACATATTTTGATAAAAGATTCCCCCCTCCCACCGTTTCATGACAGCCGAAAGAGAAGTAAAGAGCATAGCAACAAATAAGTCATAATTAGGGGCCGAAGATATCTTGATAGGTAGGGATGATTATCTCTTGAGGCTGACATTCGGACCCCTAGAAAAAGGACATTTCTTCCTGTAAGAGAAAACAATCATGTATTAACATTGGTATACATTTCTATGGTTTATCAGGATATTTGGCATAAAACTCCTTAAGCAAGGCAGGGGCCCTAATGTCTTTCTCATTAACCCATTCAGCCTGGGAAGGAGGAAAATGTTTCCACGCTACAAGATATTGGACACGACCCCTCCATTTCCTAGAATCTAGAATCTCTTTAATCTCGAAATGTTGTTCCCCCTCGATCAACAGGGGTACGGGTGGATCAGACTGGGTCGGCCGCAAAGTACTGGTATGTTCTGGTTTCAACAAACTGACGTGGAAAACTGGATGAATACGACGAAGAGTCTTTGGTAAAGTCAGTTGAACAGTCACCGGATTTACAATCCTCTCAATGGGAAAAGGTCCCACGTACTTAGGACCCAACTTCTTCGACTTCTGAGTAGTCTGCAAATATCTGGTTGAGAGGAAAACTTTATCGCCCACCTTATACATCATCTGTGGGGCTCGCTTTCTGTCAGCAAATTTCTTATGAGATTGGTGTGCCTCGTCCAGAGCTTTGCGGACGACCGGCCAATTTTGTTGGAG